AAAGCACGGCCGAAACAGTCTAGCATGCAAGTGAATTTCTGGTATGCTGATCCCTTGCCAATAGTGTATTTAACTTTCTGTGGGGCGTGTGTTGCACCCCATCCAAGCCCAAAGAACCCAAACATGTCGGCGATATTCGGCTATAATCCACCTGTCATAGCCTGAAAATATGCAACCCCCTGAGTGTGGGACAGCCAGTTCCTGCAACCGAACACTAAACAGGACGCCGGATTTTTGACACGGGAAGTCTCTCGCACTTTAAACCGTCTTGTCTGCATCGATCCTTCTACCATTGAATTATCTGAATATATACACCAACACACACACACACATATATATATATATATACACGTATATTATACATGCACACAATATACATCTTTAGTTTTTTCAGTATTCTGTTTTCTTTCATATTCTTTCTATCTGTCTGCTTTTTTGCCTATCAATCTGTCGATCCATGCATCCAGCAATCCATCTGTCCATCTTTCATGCTAGTTCTCTACATCTTGGTTATCTCCCGGAATTGGAAACTCGTTCAGGGCTTGCCCTCACATTTGGGGCGTGAAAACTCATGGTTTCAACCGCAATTTGTCCCTTAAATCAATCAATTAATGACATGAATCACTAAGCCCACTTCTTCAGTGTGGTTTTCCACAAGGAAACTTCTCACTGTGACCTTTGGGCATTGTAGAGTGCCTTAAAAAACCCAGGTATCAACGTGCCAGATGTGATCAACGTGCCAGGGTTCAAGGGAACCCTGACATAGAAGATGCTCTCCTACTGCAATGAATGGGATGCCTTCTTGAATGTTGTTGTTGGACATTGTTGGACTAGGAACAGCGCAATGTTGACTGGGAGAATCCTACTACTTTTCTTGTCAACAACGAACTTCATGCGGACAACCGACGCCCGTTCTATCCTATCCCCGTTTCTGGCTCGGTCAAACCATGTCAAACCCCATGTTGGCTTGGTTTTCCTCCATATTTAACTTGTCAGCTGGAAAATCCACGATCTTGGTGGTTCCTATTTTATTTGTGGCCAGTGAAGATGGTGAAGCTGAATCTCCATTTCTTGCTTTGTTCAATCCCCACTTTTACCTGGCTATGTCATGTTATCCCCCCATGTTTGTGAGCAAAGTCTGGAATTTCTGTCGGTTCAAGCCCTAGATTGGTGGCTGAAACCCCCATTTTTTTGGTCAAAAATTGGCTATGATAATTTGGGGATTTGCTGTATAAAAAAAAAAAAAACATCCTTGGCCGGTTACATTCCCTCCACTCTCCAGCTCACCTCTCCACGTCGCTCGGCCAGTTGCCGCCAGCGTCCCGCCTCTGATGGATGAATAGAAACGGCATCATTGTGTTACATTCCCACATAGGCGTATCTGATCATAAGTAAAAAATCATGCACCGAATGCATCTATATTATAATCACCATATCATATATATATATATGTATACCCATGTACGCGGCCCGTGCAGAGGTCCAAAAAGGCATTCACGTTTGCACCATGCGTAGATGTATGCATGAGCCCCGGATTCGCACATAGTGAACGCGCCCAAACTATCAGAACATATTGACGTCCACTTAAAGCCCCAAAAGACTTTGCATGCACAGAGAATCTATAGAACCATAACAGTACAATAACTATGTAGATACATCATTACAGATGTACACAAAATGGTTGTCAAGGAGTCAAGAAGTAGATCTTCGTACGGTCCTTAAAGACCACAGAGCTCCTCCGTCACGAATGGCCGTGCCCAAAAAGGATGATGTCCACGAATTGTCATGTTATTAAATTGTTGATGCTAAAAATGATCATCAGTTGGAAATCAAGGCGCAGCCTTTCAAACCCCAAGAGGCAAATGGATTCACTTTCCAAACTCCCTCCGCACCTCTGCGCGAGCTGCCTGAGCAAAGTGGTCATGAGGAGAATTCGAAAACGCTCTGCATATTTCTGAATTCCTATCTAAAACCGATGTACCTGCAAATGGTAATTATGCATATTAGTGCATATTATATATTATATGTATTTTGAGTATGTATGGATATGTATGGACATGTAATATTGATTAATACTGTATGTCCGTGCAGTGTGGGTTTGCGTGCGCATATAGTATGACGCAATGTTTATGTACATGTATATACGTATATGTAAACAATGTTTGGGGATTTCTCCGGGCGCATATTAGTGGTATCATGCTCAAGCATCCTATATTGGTCAAATATTATGGTTAGTAGTAATAGTAGCAGTCGTCGTCGTTCTCTAGTGGCAGTAGTAATAGTAGTAGTAGTCGTTAGTAGTGGTAGTCGTGTAGGTGGAGGTGGTGGTGGGTGGTGGTGGGGGGGGGGTGAGGGGTGGGAGGTGGGAGGGTGTGAGGTGTGGGGGTGGGGGTGGGGAGAGTGTGAGGTGTTGGGGCGTGTGGGTCGTGATGGGGGGGTGTGGGGGTGGGGGGGGGGGGTGGGGGTGTGGGTGGGGGGGTGTGGGGGTGGGGAGTGTGCGGGGTGGGGGGCTGGGGCGGGGTAGGGGTGATGTGGGGGGTGGGGGGGTGTGGGGGTGGGCGGGTGGGGGGGGTGGTGGGGGGGGGGGGGTGGGGTGTGGTGGGGTGGTGGGTCGGGTGGTGGTTGGTGGTGGTGGTGGTGGGGTGGTGGTGGTGGTGGTGGTGGTGGCGGTGGTGGTTGCGGTGCGTGGTGGCGGTGGCCGGTCGCGGTGCGGGTGGCCTGGTGGCGGTGGCGGTCGTGGTAGTAGTGGTAGTAGTGGTAGTAGGTAGTAGTAGGTAGTAGTAGGTAGTAGTAGGTAGTAGTAGGTAGTAGTGGTAGTAGTGGTAGTAGTGGTAGTAGTGGTAGTAGTAGGTAGTAGTGGTAGTAGTGGTAGTAGTGGTAGTAGTGGTAGTAGTAGTAGTAGTGGTAGTAGTGGTAGTAGTGGTAGTAGTGGTAGTAGTGGTAGTAGTGGTAGTAGTGGTAGTAGTGGTAGTAGTGGTAGTAGTGGTAGTGGTAGTAGTGGTAGTAGTAGTAGCAGCAGCAGTAGTAGTAGTAGCAGCAGCAGTAGTAGTAGTAGAGTAAACAGAAGAAGAAGTAGTATGAAGTAGTATGAAGTAGTAGTTGTTGTTGTAGTAGCATTATCACTATGTGAATGAGATGTTTGAAAGCCCAAAAGCCCAAGAAAATAGAACTCCGTGGGAGAATTCATGAAGATCTTGATCTCGAGTAAATTATTGTAGACTATGGCAGATGCTGGAAAATCGATAAAATAAAACAAAACAAGCATATGCACAGCACATGGAAAATCCACGAACATCTACCACTTGCAGATCATCGTGCTAGGGAAAACCATGGAACATGCTGCATTCATGCCTCGACCTGCTCCTCCAACGCCACCTTTCGCAGGGACCTGGTCATGCTGCATCAATAAATAATATCTTAGAGAGGATGGCCTGGCTGGACCAATATATGATGTCTGGGAGGTTCCAAAAAGCCTGTTGATGATGGACCATAGACATGTTTCATCATGTTTCCATCACACCTTGCTGGTCTTCTGATCTAGCCGCTACCTTTACCGTGGCTGGTATGGCTGCATGTTTTTTCCCTCCCATACGGGAAAGTCTTCGCTGGCTCCCTTGCAGCTGGGCCACTGCCAATCTCGTTTTGGAGCGCCCTGCGTGGGATTGCAAGGGGTTCCACCCAATGGTTAGGAACAAACCTAACCCCAGGCCCAACATGACAATGGGCATGAGCATAGCAATACAACTTGAGATAGCCAACAAAAGTTGAGATGCTGCATAATAAATCAACAAACGTGGGAATGCGATGGAATGCGTAACGCGTTTAAGAAGTTGTCGTGTTAGAGCCTTTTGTGATATCTCTCCTGCAAATTGCCTTGTTTACAGGTGCCATGCCTCCTACCATGCTGCTTCTCCCTTGCCTAGCTCCTGGGTTTTCATCCTGGCAACAACACAAATCTCCAACCAGCCTGACGGGAAGGCATTCACAACTGTCCTAGACTCCCGATAATCCTGGAGGAACATGGACCCAAGCTGAGTCCAACCATGTCCCACCCAGATAGTCAGTGCTAGGTGGACTATCTCTTACAGCCATTTAAAAGTGATCCGCAAAAATGGGACATCGACCAACTGACCAAGCCCGGACCCAAACCAACCCTAATATCTGAAGACTTTTCGAACACTTTTGCCCGCTTGAGGATGCTCAAACAGCTCATCAAGCGTGCACCACTGGGCCTGGCTGGTGGTTGAGCTTTTGATCCAATACATTCAATTCATCAATATCAGTATTTGACCAGCCTTTCTGGGGGTGGGAGATTAGGGACAACACCAGCCAACACACCAGGCGACTGGTGGAAGGGTGACCCAAAATGCATAGATCCATGGTTTGGGGAGAAAATTGGGGGATACATGGGGATACTGATGGATATTCGATATTGGGGGCATGGGATCACTTTGTAAAGGTGACCAAAACTGATTTACACACCTGCAATTAATATATATCTTGGGGGTAGAAAGAACCCACGTGGGTCCAAGCGACTGTTTCCTCCCAAATGGCGTCATTTATTCAAACTTATTGATGTTGTTGATGAAACTCAAAATTCAAAAACTGTCTTGTCCTCCGCTATTGAGATCCTGGAGAGTTCTGCTGGCAGCTGGAACCCAAAAGACAGGTTGGTCTCAACTATGGAATGATGAATGATGGGGTTTTAAAAGAAAAATCCACGTCAGTCTTCCGGTGTCTCCCGAGCTGCTCCTGGTGTGGAAATTGATGGCGTCAAAGGCCGCATGAGAAAAAAAGGAGAAAAAAAAACAATACGTATAATTAGCGCATATATGCGCATATAGCTTATCTGATGGCTTATATATCCAGAAAGTCGTCTAGTTTGAAGGGTTGAAGAATTTTCAAGCCTTGTTTGAGTATTTAGGGATATTTATCGCCATGGCTGAATGACTTTGACAAATCATCACCCTTCACCGTCCACTGCAGGGATGAGCAATGACCTTTTCAACGCAACAAAGTCGCGACTGAATATGTCCAGAAGGTCACCGAATGCACCAGGCTCTCTTCATTGTGCTTTTTCATTTGGACCGAAGAGGACTGCACATCCAATGATGCTGACATGCACATGAGTTCCGGCAGGTTCGAGAAGTAGAGAATGCCAGGGAAGCGCCCGAAGTCCGAGTACCTTGGCTGGTGGATCCCCAGCGAGCTAGAAGTGAACACTTTTTCTGGGGCAAACGGTGCACCATGGTAAGCACATCTCATCCTCAAAAGGCTAAGCATCTAGAACCGTATGGTTATGTTCTAATCCATCCAACCAACCAAAAATGTTCAAATGATTGGGTGTCATCCCCATGTTGTTGGTTATATCATGTATATATATATATATATATCCCCCATATCCAGGATGGCAAATCCCTCGTGTTGTATGGCTACAAAGCAACCCAGCTACTGATACCAATATCTCATAGCATCGAAGCGCAAGCCACGTCTCAACCACCAGGTGCCCTTGCGCATGCGGGTCCAATCATTGGAGTCTGGGGGAGACATCCTTGGAGTTGCTGCCGAAATGTGGATAGACAGGGCACCTCAATGGTTCTTTCAATGGGGAACCTGATGATAAACATTGAAAAAAACGATGGAATTTGAGGCCCTATTCACAAACAAACTCAAATCAGAAACATCATCCCTTAGATTCCTCAGGTCTGGTGGATTCACCGTACTTAGAGAGTACAAGAAATCATTAAGTGGATCTACATGGTCTATATTTGAAGACCTCAGGTCCCTAAAATCCCCTGGAGTTTCAAAACTACCTCATCTTTTCAAACATCTTTGGCCATACATTCCGTCAATGGATTGGATTAAGGGAAAATTTACAGGAAAACCCCATATTTAATGGGAAAATCTATGGTTTCCTGTAAATTTTCCCTTAAACCAATCCATTGATTCCGGCCGCAAACTCCCCAAACAATCCAGGCATCTGAAACGGCGTGTAGGGATGCCAGGGCTCGGCAGAAGGACCACGGCTGCTGTTTCTTCGCAGCACTGGCACTTTTTGCGGTGACTTCTTGGACGACCTGCGAATCACACCTTGGTATGGCAACAAAAAGGGCAACCCTGGCTGCCTACCAAACCTACCATTGGGAGATGGCTTACGCCACCCATACAAATATATATAAAAATTGAGATTTTGGGAGTGGTTGATTGTTGACTGGATTTACCACATGTTGCCACGTTACTGCAATTAAAGGCTCACAACAACTCATGAATTTAGACCATGCTAAGAAGGTGAGCATGCCCCACATTTCACCCTATCAGGGGAAACATGGGGAAACTACTTTTCGAAGAAGAACTCTTGCTAAAAACCATTTCGCTGACAGGAAAATTATGCCTTTTTGGAAAACAATAAGGTTTCTTTTGGTGCCGTGTGCCAATAATTTAGCCCTAGGAAGCTCAATTTCTTGGTGAGTTTGTTGGTAAGCTTCCCATGTTTGCATTGTTGCTTGGCCCCGCCCATTTCTGAACCAGCCACTGGGGATTTCTCTGAAAATCCAAGGGTTATTGTCATTTTGGCAATCTAAAATGCTATCAGCTGCTATCATGTGGGGTATGCCATATTCTTTGCGAAACCAAAACGGGGCTGTCTGAAAATACGGTACCATACGGTACCCCAAAATCAACAGTTATTCCAATAGTCGCCTGAAATAGTCTGAAGAGATGTATACTACGTTTTCACCATGTCAAACCCAAAATCTGTCCTCTCCCAAAGCACCCATGGAGGTGTAGGAGTCCTCATCCGTCTTGTTCTCTGCCACTGCCAGGAAGTACTTCATGTCTTGCATCAGCTCAAGGGCTGCCTTCAGGTACTGCTTGGCCTCGGCGAGGAGGACTTGTTACTTGATGATTCCAGACGCTTATGCAGAAATATATGCTATGCCAATATGTTGATAGCACTGGTAGCCCTTTGTTGTGCATATTATAACAACACACATGTTTTAAATATACTATCACCAAAAAAAACAAACCTAAAGTGGAAGTAGCTGGGTAAGTAAACTCCGATCACCCAACCAACCAACCTGCAAGTTCACTCCATTCATTGCATGGAAAAAATGCCTTGAAACATCCTTCAACGCCCATATTCATGGGGAAAAAAACTGAAAAAAAAAGTGCAAATCACCCATAATCCCATCATTTATCAATTCCCATGCCCAGTGGCGGTGTCCAAATCTTCCGCCTCCACTCCCCGTGTCAACACATCCTCTGCCACCCCCCGTGCCGCTTTGGCTGAGCTGAGCCCCACCGCAGGCGAGGGGAAGCCAGGCGACTCGTCCAGGGGTGCAGAACCAGGGCGGTCCAAATGGGCAAAGTCCTTGGAGAAATTTGGGTGTTTTTTCTCAGTTGTTCTTACTTGAGGATGTTTGACATTTTTTGGGGGGGTTACGAGACAATTTTTCGGGGTGTTCACAATTCCTCATAGAAATCAGCGCTTGCAGAGATTGATGATGGATTTGCTTTGCATTCTGATAATAGGATATTCATCTCAATCAATGGCAATTTAGTTGGGTTTTGTTTTTGTTCATTGTTGTCATTTCGACAATAGCGGATATAAAGCAAATGTTCAGCAATTGGGGGAAGCCAGTGGGTGTGAATAATTACCCTCTGCTATGTGCAAAATTACCTATTTATAGATGATTTATATAACTATTAAAGATGGTGTATTTCCATAGCTAGGTTTATTTTCAGGGCGTAATAACCCGTCGAAATGATATATTTTTTCACTGACCTGAAAATAGCTGAAACTGATGGCCAATTTGGAGATGATTTCCCAGTGGCGTCGCAGTGAGGTCGTTGTAGTTATAATATGTTATAATGGAGAATCATGCGGGCAAGCCAATCATCAACCATCCCAATAGGGTTTAACCGTGAAATTGGGTACCCCTGCTATGGAGCAAAAACATGACTATGACTACACCGGACTATACCCATGATTATGGTTCATCAATGTTCATCACATCACTGTGTATTATACCATTTATAGTTGTCATATGTTGTCATTCTACCCATGATGCGGGGGGTCATCAAAAACGTCCCAAGCTTCGGCCTTTGGTCCCTCATAGCCCGGCATGGACGCCTGGTACATCCGCTCCCCGACCGAGAGCTGGCCCCGTTGGTAGAGGAGACGGTACATCCATTCAGCGCCCGGCATCAGCAGGGGAATGCCGGCGCTGTACAACTCGTAGAACCTATGGAAATCGACGCGAAATCTATAGGAAAATATAGGAAATCGAGCAGAAGTCTATGGGAAACCTGGGGAAAGCTATGGGAAATCTATGGAAATCTATATGGAAATCTGGGGAACAGATTTCAAACGGTGAGGCCCGGTGAGGCCTCAAGCCACGAGCCTAGTTGGCCTACTTCTTAACTCTCTTTGGTTGTACATATACATATATATATAATATAGACATATATCTCATAGATAGATTATGTGTGTGATTAGAATGTACTGTGTTCATCTGTGTGCTGGTATGTAGGCCAAATTCCAGACCCACAAGAAATACAAGAACAAGATGGTCATGTTGCATTGTTCACCCTCCAGTTTCTTTTTCCACAGATTTTTCCACCATTTTCCACCAGAGGCTGGATATACTTCTTTTCCACCAGGGACTCCAGTTTTCAATGCTCAACCATTCACCCTCCAGCTCTGACTAGGAATGGTGTCTTTACCGGCTATTCAGGGGGGCCAGCTTGGATAAACTTCACCAGTTAAATGCCCACCTGAACCACGGCGACAAGACCAACTGGCTGACTAGCTGTTCTTTCCCAAATGCTCAACACCAAAAGAAATCATGGTGTTAGTTCATGATTAAACTACAGGACCCCCTATATGCCTATATAATCCTATATATTTGATGGTACAAACAGTAACATAGAACAACATCGTTAAAACGTTCACCAGGAAACGTCATCAAAGCATGATCCCAAGGAATCAAGGCTACTGCTTTGAATGCTCCAATTTCCGCATAGGACAAGCTTTCACCTTCGTCCATGAAGCGGAAGGCGGTTTCCAATTGTGGGTTGGCTGCGGTGAAGTGCGCCATGGCACATCTGGTAGCCACATAGCCTGGGTTTTTCAAATGAGGCATTAGTGGATTGGTGGTGTCCTTTTCTGTTTCAACCCATCCTGTTTTTATGCAAACGATCAATAAGAAGCCCTTCAGAATATGTATACTTATCGTTTGAGATAGCTATGGAAAATTATGGAAAACCACAATTTTTAGAATAGGTAAATCATCTACAAGTGGTGAAATATTTTCCAGAAGCTATGTCAAATCATGTTCAATTACCGAGAGCATCCAATGTTCGTTCAGTAGCTGAATAACGGCGCCCGCCAAACCAACAGCTCCTGGCGCAATGGGGCGTAGGCCATGTTGGTGTACAAGCCATGGGCACGAACGTAGGGCATACGATAGCCGCTCTGGTAGTAGATTTGTTCTGACAGAATCAAATTGTTCACTGCCATCTGAGCCTGTTGGCCATCTTGGGATTCCAGTAGGTCCACCAAACTCTGCCAAAAGGTATCCAAATCGTCAGGAGGGCAGTTGTTTAGCAGCGCCACACCCAAATAACCCAGCAGAGGCAGCGTCTTGCCGCGTGCCCTGGCAGACTGAAGCATCATCAAACATCCAGCCATAGGCCTCAGTCAAGCCATGCCACCCAGCTTATTATGGGCCTTTTCTGGATCCCAGTGCCATCTGTTTCCCCCGGGTCCATCCTGCCATCTTCCGCCCATGTTTCACCCATGACTGGTGAACAAGTGGCTCAGTACAAACGATCAGCTCAGCCTCTTGCAAGCCTCTGTCCGCCTCATAGATTTGATCAATCTGGGTCTGCATGACGTGCCATGGATACGAGTAGGGATCCTTCTCTGCGTCCTGAGGGCGCATATCCAGTGGCTTTTGACAAGTGGAGGTTTAAGAACTGCTAGGGAATGAGTGGTGTGAGAATTAGGAAATTCCATGGCGAACTGACTTATATTATATCATGAAACAATGAAACAGGAAATATCATACCACCTTCCATTCAATACCAACATAGCAGCATTCGGGGGTTGCACCTGCACTTAGCACCCACAAAAAAGATAGAACATTAAAATTGCATCAACATGGCAATCATGGTATAAATATGTTAACATGTCTGGGCAAACTGGTGTGACCAAAACAAATCTTTGGGGATTTACTGAACGAGTTGATATGTTCCCCCATCCCTCCTTGAAGAGCTTCCCCAAGGCGGCTGTACCCTGGTCGCACATGCCCAAGATCTGGCACCAACGCGTTTCAAGGCCATAGAACACTGGAGCAATCTGCACACCTCGGCCAAGGTTAAGATAGAATGAAAATCCAATTCACCAAGGGAGAGTTTTATGAAAATTGACATTCACCAACCTTCAGATATTTGATGAAATGTGGCCACTTGGGGATAGTTGCCTCTAATTACTAGTCATTCCGAGGTTAAGATAGCTGATGGTTGAGCCGTGAGAAATAGGAAAGAATCATCGGGGATCATCATGCGTTGAAGCACCCCTCCCGATAACCAACATTTCTAGGGCCATGTCCATTGTTGAACCATCATTTGCCAATTTTTAGATGTCATGTACATCTTTAAGGTTAGAGGCGTGGGGTTCGGGACCCCAAAAAAAAACATCCTGGATTTCCCCACTCTACCTGGCAATGAGAAATTCAGTGTCTACCAAGATGCCGGTGAGAAATCTTCGCAACATCTCCACAGGTTCCAAAGACAATGTTGCATGAGAGCCAACGACGGCCACGCGAATCCGGCTGGGAATGCTAGTTTTGTCCAGAGGCACAGGTGGTTGCCAGTACAAGGACCCCAATGCAACCCGAGGTTGAGTCACTGGTTGTTGTCGAGCATAAGCCTCGTAGCTTATGAATTCTGTCCTGGTGCACCCAGCACAGAAAAAATAGAGTGATTACCCTGCTTGGTTGTGATCATCTCAAGTCATAGGTGGATAAGCAAGTTGCAAGTACTCGAAACCAATCAACTAGTATAATATCACCCTAAAAAATGAAAGCACGCTCCTACTGAAACAGCAATTGTTGGTAAAAGTCGCCAAATTCCAAAGTCCAGATCCCCCTTTTTCAACCAGAAGCAGGGAACGATCTATATTAATTGGAAATGGACCTTAAATTTGACAGATTTCCAGATATTTCCAGAGTCCACTATGTCCAAGTAGTCCCAGGATTTCAACACCCTTCAATCAGTTGAGCAACTCATTGATATTGATGAAGGCATCGATGATGGAGAAGGGCCATGGCGAGGAGTCCAAAAAATCCACCGAGCCTTCCTGCCATCGATTTGGGATCCCATTTGGGATCCTCATCTAGGGATGGAAACCCATACCGAAAGCAAAGAACACATGATGGTAACAGTACATGTACTACAAGGGTGGGATATCATGATGGCTGGAAAGGATTATTCTCCCGAATTCTCCCCTACAATGTGAGATATATCTTTTCATAGCAGGGGGATATTGAGTAGCTGGGCTTCATATATTACGGATACTAATATGTACACACACACACCTCTGTATATTTACATGTGATTATATGCGTAAATTGTATTAATTTGTTTAATTTTAATTGATTATAATGAATATTCACAATAAATTAAATGTGAACCATTCCTGGATTCTGACATATCTATACATATCTATACATATCTATACATATCTATATCATTCTATATTTATACTTATCTTAGTTCCAAGATCAAGATCTACATCCAGCTTTCCATCGCTGCTAACCGCCTTTCCCAGGACCGTCGTGGCGTAGCCGAAGTCGATCTCCGCGGAGCGCCGATCCTCGAGGTCCGAGGAGCCCATCAGGTGCCGCGCGCGGATGATCAACGCAGCCACGAAGCCCCAGAGACAGAAGCGGTCCACCAGGGGCCACGGGGCGTCAGGGCCACTGCAAAGGTACTTGTAGAAGTCCTGAACGATCTGAACGGATCTGATTTTTATGAAGATCACGAATCTGATGATGGTAAAGATGAAACGGGAATTGGAGCATTCAAGCTGGGGATTTGAGATGATTTATAAGATTTTATAAGATGATTGAAGCATATTGAAGCACCAAATAATTGGGATCTAACATGAAAACGATTCTAACATATTCTAACAATAGGATTGAACCACAAAACATGAAGAACTATAAAGAATTGCATAGCAATCAAGAATATGAATTTAACAATTCAACAAAACTAATTATCATGGAACTAATCCTCTCCCATTAAGACTAGACCTCTACTATGGACACCAAAAAATGAACAAATCCGGCATTCAACCACGGTTTCTAGGAGAGTTTTTAAGGATCATGTGAGTTATAGTTATATGTTATAGTCATATATTAATTATCAATGATCAACCATTTTCTGATGCACCTCCTGACCTTAACCCGCAAGATCCCGTAGGGTTGACAGCATCCGTCCTGTGGCGGGTAGGGTTTGTCCTGCCACTTCAACAGAATCTCCTGGGACGCGCCCGTCCGCCAGGCCCATGTTGACAGTCACCTCATTCTAACGAAATCCAAGGAACCAAACATGTCACCAGGAAAGCCCGCGATGGAACCATCTTTCAACATCTTTCAACCTCATTGCATTCATACACCATATCACCGCAATTTCCAATAAGGACAACCAACCCAGAAACACCAACAAAAACCACACCATATCACATGCGTATTATATCATTATATATATATATGTGTGTGTGTGTATTCTGTTGGTTAGTGACAAAAATGCCTTAAATGCTCATAAATATACATATATACATACATAGATACATATTATATACATGTTGAACATCCCCGCAAAAAACGTCCTGCGCATGCAGCGCCAGCAGTGGATCTTCCTGGAAGTTCTGGTTTCGGTTTTGGGTCACCGCCTCCAGAAATGCGGCCCACTCCGGCATGCTTCGGCAGCTGAAGGCATCAGGCACCACCACCCCGCAGCCACCATTGCCCAGTTCTCCAAGGGCGCCAAGGAAGGCGCACATGAACCATGCACGGGACAGACATGGTGACCACATGGCATCGAGGACTGATTTAGTTGACTGATTTGAACACCTGTTTGGGAGCAGAGACAGGAAGTCTCGTTTGAATGGTGAGGCTGTTTGAGGTCGCGATGAGTGTTTTTTAGATCCGCACTTGTCCACATTTTGCAGCCAAGGACTTACCAGGAAGTGTGTATATATGTACGAATCATGTGCATGATCCAATTGTGCACCGAATAACCCCACTTACCGGGCTTGCGAACCAGGGCCATCAACCGCTTAAGATCTCGAAAATCTCATCGGCCAGGCCATTGACAGTGGCAAGCAGTGGCAACTAAAGATATATAATTCTTTTTAAATCAACAAAATCCACATTCAATCCCTCTGAACGGTAGATGTTCCATCCCCACAATTAATATCAATTAGATTAGTCCCATATCAATTACTCGTACGCGTCGGGTTTCCAAAAACCCATCTCTTTGATTTGCTTGGAGGCCTTCAATTTGCAGGGCTACCCGAGAGTCCATGTTGACTGGGGAACGGGATGAGACTTGCAGCAGCTGCAGACCAGTTGGCAACAAGAACAGATTTTAATGGAATTGCGATGCCCTTGTCCATGCCCTTGTCCATGCCCTTGTCCAGCAACATGGAGTCCATAGCACACATCGTTTGCTCACAACTCACATCCGCAAGTTGTCGGTCATATGCACACCTGTGGCTCAGTCCTCTCATGCAGGCACATGTATCACAACAGTTGCTGCTTTTTCACCGAGTTTCTTTTGTTGCATCCATTTCCTTTTCAGGAAAAACCTTTGATCTCTGTTGCTGGCCCTGAATCCTGGAATTTCATCCATGAGCTTGGTACTCCTCACCAGCTCTGTAGCATCACAATCTTCATATGTTCCATGAGTTTATTCATAAAATATCATATATGGATAGGTTGACCCCAGGCCTCTAACTATAGTCCCAAAAGTCCCCAAAGACCTCGAAAACTTTCAGTCATTTTCCAGTCACCGCAGCCTCCGCTTCACTCTTTCAAGCTCTGCCCCGGCCGCCCAGGGTTGTCACGGCGGCACTGGGAGGGCGTGACGTAGTACTTCACGCCCTCCCAGTGCCGCCGTCGCTGGGAAGGGGAAGTTCCATGGCAAAGGTCGAAGGATTTTTTGCGAGCTGGAGGATAGAAAATTGCTGAAATTTAGTGGGGCTTGTTTTTTTTGTTGAATTGCAACCACGGGCCGGCCGGATGAAGGAACCCTACAAAAACAAGGTTGTATCAAATAAGCATTCCCACAAGCACCATTGGCCAAATGGATGGTTTTGGGTTCAAAAAGGCCTCGTTGGTATGGTACATACGTATGGTACACAGCATGCAAAATGTACAAACATAGATGGCTCTGTGCAACTACGTACATATACTGATTGATGATGCAATCTTGTTGAACATGCCATGCTAATCTTTAGACACCTTGCAATAATAAGAATTTCGGTTTGTTAGAAAATTACCCCTATTATATCATGCCTAAATCCATTGGTTCAATCATCCCAACATATCTCAACTCGAGCAGCCACTCTTTGAAAGTATATCAGTAGATTATATAATATATGAGCCATGGTCAATACTCACTATATGGTTGATGGTCATCCCATCCATAATAAGGATCCTTATAATGGTTATTAACCATGAGTATTGACCACAGCTCATATGTATATCATTTTCAGGTACACCACAAATAAATACGTTCTACATCATTGTTCTTTATGTGTCCCAATATAATCCATTATATATATATATATATATATCCCCATCAAATATTGATTCAAGACTCCCTTGTCGGGTGGTTAAATTTGGAAATCGTGGTCCTATATTCCACCATTGACCCAAGGCTTTGCCAAAAAAACTTCCGGTGGCAGGTCATGGTGGTAAGGTCGGGCCATACTCAGGGATGGCCCATCGCCACCGGTGGCGACTGGGCAGCAAGAGAATGCAAGAGATGCATGAGCTCGGCGATTTCCACCGAGCCAGTCCTAGGCGTTTTCCAACAACGGGTGTTGGTGGTGGTGAAGCTGGAGAAAGTTGTTGATGATGATGATGATGATGATGATGTGATGGTGATGATGATGATGATGATGATGATGATGATGATGTGATGATGATGATGTGATGGTGATGGTGATGGTGATGATGATGATGATGATGATGATTATGATGTGATGGTGATGATGATGATGTGATGGTGATGATGATGATGATGATGATGTGATGGTGATGATGATGTGATGGTGATGATGATGATGATGATGTGATGGTGATGATGATGTGATGGTGATGGTGATGATCAGAAGGGAAGTTGAATAAATGTTGAACAGAACTAGCTGTCTTCCCCATAATTGTCGATGACACCTCATGATGCTTATAGATTATAAACTGTGGTAGATGACAGGCCGCTTCGAGAGGGCTCACGCAACCTCAAAAGCTTGGTGCACCATGCCACTAATCCGAAAATCCACCCCACATCCCCTCTGTAGACTCGAATGATTGAAGCCATTGCTCGCAACTTAACTCGTCGGTATGCTCCCTCGAAAACCTGCTTTTTGCATCGCATGACGTCAGGATGCTGGATCCCGTCACTCCCATTGCGGACTCGGCGGACGGGCCTTTTTCTGAGCTAAAAAACTTGAATCAAGAGGAAAAATGAAACTACTAAGCCTCCTGGCAAGGTAGATCATCGCTCAAGAGTCAACTTCGACATCCAAAAAAACGCAGAAAAAAATCAAGTCTTGAATCAAGGGATGCCCAAGGTCAATGTTCCAAATTTTGGGATCATTATTATCATTATTCCACTCACTACTCAACCAGTACTGCGAGTTTGCTATAATTCACTCACATCAACCCTTCTTGTTTGTCTGATCTGGGCTGCGCCATCCTACCTCCACCTATATATGTATGCTCAAAGAATAATGATGTGAACATGCATACTGACACAAATGCATCATAATGCATCAATATACATATATAATCATATATATATCTCTCTCTCTCTCTCCATCGCCATCCCAAAGGTCCAGCTAAATACATCAATCAATCAATCGGTACAGCACTTATTTTGACACGGCGATCATCTACCTTGACAGAAGAGAACTTATAAGAAAGCTTCCGGGTCTCACTGGGCATTTGGCTTCCGGCTCCTCGTTGGGGAGCATTGGATCACCCGCAGCAGGGTGCACACCTGGCAGCTATGGGATTCTGCACCGGCCAATGGTAGACATCCCATTTTTTCCCGCTGTCAAGAAGTTTCCCTCTTGAGACTCCTGGGATTCAGTTAAGTCGTTCTCTAATCTTTTTCCATCCACATCCTCCACCGAAGCCCAGCACCCCGCCTTCAGCAGTTCTCTCTTCATTTCTTCACTGAGGCGGGAAGGGCATCATACTTCGTGGCCTTTTCCACCACAGGTTTTGCGCCCACGTATGCCGTGACGCTCAAAATTACCACCATAACCTTGGGCAAAGGAGGCACAAAGGAGGCACTGTGGCCCGCCTTGACAACTACTAGGACTAGGTCCTTAGGTGATTAGGAAGAAGCATGAAGAACTCCGACTTACCTCTAGGGACTCTAGAACATGTTATAGTATCTTACAACCAACGGCACCCCGCAATCTTCACCAGGCGCCCCAGCTGAGAGGAAGGTGGGCACCTCAAACTTGTCGTCAAAAGCCGGCAGAGCCACCTGTGGAAAAAAAAACAAACTGCTGAGGGATGGGATGTCTGGGATGCAACAGGGACAGCTTGCTCACCGGAAAACTTGCATTTTCAGTGGGAGGGAGAAACCATGAGAAACCAAAAAAAAAAGAGGCTACCCGGCTGCCCCCAAAACTGCTCGGATGATGTGAGATGATCATTTTCGCCTCTGAAACAGTGTTCACAATTGCAATTTGGGGGCTTCCCCCTGCAGACAACCCTCCAATTGGCCTGCCCTGCTACCTCCCGGCCTGTGCTGCATAGATCACCAGCACTGCGCACGCCTCACCGATGTTCTTCAGGACGGAGTCCAGAATCGCCAAGAGGTACATGGTACTCCATCCCTGCGTATCTTCATCGTGGTGAATGGAATCCAATGGGCGTGTGGGACAACACAAGGGTGGAAGAGAGCAAATGCTCCGTCCAAAATATTGGTATGGGCGGTATGGGGTCAAAATCCTAAACCCTGGGCAGACAAGATTTGGTGATTATGTGTATTATTAACCATCCAACTATATTATTTGGGGCATCCAATATGGAGAAATGAAAACATGGAATACATGCTATGCATCGTTATTCGCGAGCCTTCAACATCCATCATGGAGGATAGGCTGCAGGTGCCAGAAAACGCTTGGTGGCCAAGGAGTGTCCGGATTTCTTCATCCCTTCATTTTTTTCAGGTTCCCTTTTAACTTATATGGTATACACTTATAGATTTACCACCCTTAAAAAAATAATAATATAAATGCACCCAAGTATACTACATAACACAAGTCTTACGAGTACCAGCCACTACTACCCAACCGTAGCTATATAGTTATCTAGTTATAAATATATATATATATTTATAGTTATAAAGTTATATATATATAATATATATTTAATTATATAGTTGTATATGTTATAGTTTTATATAGTTTTATAGTATATATGTATATATATGTTATATATCACCTATAACCAGACGCTATAACCGTTACCCCACATCCTCTTCTTCCAGATCCTCGGGCGCCTTCACGGTGAAGGAGGTCAGGACGCCCATGGTGGTGGCGTCCCAGCCGCTGAAGAAGCCGTTCTGCCAGGTCTGGCCATCTGCGGAGGAGATCCTGGCGCTGGGATGTGCAACAGCTGGGATTTTAATGGGATTTAATGGGATTTCCATGGTTAACTTGAGGCCGGGGGTGGATGACGAGAGCTAGCGGGGTAGGAGAAAGAAGGAAGGGAAGAGGTGAGTTGCGGAGGGACTGTCATCATCGTGTCGCGGCATTGTTCGTCCCAACGAGGATGCAACAATGATATATTGATATATGATATATAACAATGATATATATGGGGGAGGGGGCAGGGGGGGCCCTTTCGCGGGAAAAATCACGTGATGTCCTTGGGGAGCCCCGGAATACGTGCTAAAGCAAGACTCTAGCGAGCTGACGCTAGCTTTCGTGATAATGACAATAATTGCCAATAATGATAAAATGTAATTGAATAACGATGATGATGATGATGATGATGATGGATGATGGATGATGAATGATGAATGATGAATGATGAATGATGAATGATGATGATGATGATGACGATGATGATGATGATGATGACGAGGATGATGATGATGATGATGATGATGACGATGATGATGACGATGACGATGACGATGACGATGACGATGACGAGGACGATGACGATGACGAGGACGATGACGAGGATGACGATGATGATCATGATGATGATGATGATGATGATGATGATGACGATGACGAGGACGATGGAGAGGACGATGACGATGATGATGACGATGATGATGATGATGGTGATGGTGGTGATGGTGGTGATGGTGGTGGTGGTGGTGGTGGGGGGGCCTTTCGCGTGAAAAATCACGTGATGTCCTTGAGCAGCCCCCCCAATACTTGCTAAAGCAAGAAGACTCCAGCTAGCTGACGCTAGCTTTCGTGATAATGGTTAATGATGGTTAATGATGGTTAATGATGGTTAATGATGGTTAATAATAACTGGTTGGTGGTATACCTACCCCTCTGAAAAATATGAGTTCGTCAATGGGAAGGATGACAAGCCATATATGAGATGGAAAATAATCCAAATGTTCCAAACCACCAACCAGATAAAATCACACGTATATTATATATAATGTATAATATAATATCATATTATATCACATTATGTGTTATCATTATAGTTTATATATATATAATGTTATATATACAATCGATTTGTTTCGTTGGAAGAGATTCGACCACATCTCCATTCAAGTACTGGATTGGTCTCTCCGGGAACCATGGATTTCTATGCAAGTCTGGAACCTTGGGAAGTTTCAAAAACTGGGGAATACAACCAAATCTTTTTTGGCGGCATTCCTTTCATGGATTAGTTTTTACATGTTTTTACCAGAAATTGGGGAAATGTACCCCAAAGGCAAAATATGGGTACATACACAATTCACCAATCAATTGTTGAACCCAACATGCAAAGCCTTCACAACAAAACATTAAAAAACCAAGGAACAACATGGAATACAAACCGAGGCCAAATGGCGGTTTGGGTTGGTAGTTTGGAATGGCAAAATCCACATCTTATATCATTATCTTATTATATCTTATGATATTTGGATTATCACGATGGGTCTCTGCCAAGCATTTCAAATTAATTCCCAAGGGATCCCAAGGGCACCTTTATGCACCTTTCCCATGTTGAGAAAGGACCAAAGCTTCACATCTCCCACCCCAGGTGACCGAGGTGCATGAGAATAGTTGCACACCAAGCGCATTTGAACTGAACCAGCTGCATGTAGATTGGGGAGTCCTTGTCAAACCCCCAGTTTGGTAAACTTTCTCTGGAAGTTTGACTCTCTGTGTTTTAACGCCTTGGGAGCGTCGGAGTGTCGCACCGTTTGGCCTTTCTTCGCAACATGTTGACCTTTCTAACGAAGTTATAGACCCACAAAATAAATCTACCAAACAAATGTTTCATTCACTGGATCCCTTCTAATTATGCATTCTCAACAAAAACGCTCCAGAATCCCACGCAGCCACCGCTTGGTCCTTGAACTCTTTCATGTAGGCATCGGACAGCACCGCGCAGAGACAGCTCACTGTCACCTTCAGGAGCACGTTCAGCACCCCAGCGATTGGGATGCCACCACTTCCACTATCACTTTTGCCTCCCAGCATGTAGACGCACATGGAGAACATTACCTTAGCCGCCCCAAGGTGACATTCAAAAAATTGAGGTGATTGCCGTAAGGGCAAACTGATTAACATCAACAGTTATGGCAGGGTGAGGAGATGATGCTGACGGATCTGGTGGGAATTGCCTCTGGAAATTGCAGATTGCCAGTGACAAAAAATAGAACACAGAATACGCATGAATAACTAACCCATGAAAGCAGAGAAGATGCCTATTATGGGGTATTAATCAAAACCCTGGCGCCCACCAAAGAAGTTGGTGCTCATGAACAGTCACCCCCCTATAGGTATTAACTCGGCCGAAGCAAACATGATTTCATCTGTGTTTCTTTGCTTGATGATAAACCCACCAGTCACCAGGCGATCATCATCAACCCCCATCGGGGTTCAACAAATGTGGGTTTGTCAAAACATGGTACCTAAACATGTACCTAGAAGATCCTAGAAGGCATGGGCGATCAGCCAATTCTTTGATGGCCACTTGGGAGCATCCCCGGCATGCGATCAGCACAGCTGCCAAGACCAAAATGTTCCACTGCAAGGCTGTCTGCTTGGTACCCTTGATGCCCCACATCCTGTGGCCAAGCCGGCTACGATCCATTTGGGTTGTGGGTCAAACCCCCGGGGGGCCCTAATAAACAGCCAATCATCAGCCGCTTGGGGGGTTCATCTGCACTAAACACCCATCAGCAAAGCCTGGAGAATATCCAACTGATTACTTTGGAGTTTCCTCGTCAAAGGGATCGGGATTGGGCAAAAAGCAGCACGAAAAACATCTATATCACAAACTTGAAACTTGAGGTATCCTGAAATCAAAATGGAAATGACACAAAAAAAAACGCGAAACCAGCAGCCACTAGTGATTCTTAGTTTATTCGCGGCTCGCTGAGCGGCATGAGCGCAGTGATGATCAGCTTGGACTGAAGCAAGATCTGATAGGCCGCACCCCCAAGAGATCCCATTGATGCCATCTCCAAATAGTCTCCCAAGGCATACCTGGGACCATGGCAGCCAAAGGTGGCCACCACTGGCACGGTGGAAATGGCAAAAATCAATGTCTCAAGGTCTCAAGGTCTCAACTATATAAACCTTGGTCATCATTGCCTGTATCAATGGTACGTATGTCCCGACATGTCTCGACAACCCACTAATGGGCATGGCCAGCTCTTCCTAAGGGAAATGCCTTGTTCGTGCAGAAACAGGACCAAAGGGCACCGGGACCCGCACCCATGGCAACCAAACTCCACCTGTAAATATCAGCAAATATTTTGTTCTTTGGCACCTGCAGCATCAACATGCTAAGGTTGATATAGCACCCACATGTCAGGGTACTACTTCAACAAAATCTAAGATCAGGATATCGGGGGCAACTGCCAGCATGGTCACCCACCACCTCCATGAGATCGCTCCTTTTTCTCCCTTTTCCTCATCTATTTGGGGCAGAAATCAATAAAATCACCAGGTGTGAGCCAATAGGCAAGCCACCTGGTTTTTTGAACTATCACATACTATCACCATTTCACGTCATTTCACCATCCAAAATCTCTCACTCCGCTGGTATCACTCCCAAGGTCTTCAAGCCCTCGGTATGCTGGGGACAGGGATCCGGACGCTGCGCCTTCTGTGCTGCCAGCGAAATCTCGTAGAAGGCGCCGTTGCGCCACTCGAACTCCTTCACGGCCGTGGGGAAGTGTGCCACGCTGCGCGCGTAGGCTGCCAGACGGTCGCACAAGCGCAGCCTGGTCGTGAACATGTTGAGATAACATGAGATAACCTTGGTAACAGATGGTAACAAATGGTAACAGATATTAACAGATGGTAACAGGGATGGTGTGTATAGTTTTTTTTCAATAGTCATTTTCCCATCAAATCCACGGTAATCCTTGCGCACAAAGTGGTAGAAGCAGCAATGGACGTAAAATTGGACAAACAGCTGAGGATGTTACACTTCAGTAGTTACATCTTCCCAGCTTGCATGTAGTAGTTTCATGGGTTGCGGAACATAGTGGAGTTTGGTTATGGTTGGGGTTCCAGGTTGCCTGGTTGCATTTATGTGACCTCAACGCAAGCCTGGCCCCACCAAAGATTTATTATAAACCCTCGAGTTCCCGTCTTACCTTTCTGGGCCACATGCTGGCAGTACCTAAATTTACGCGATTTTTCACAGAACCACTGCTTGCTTCGTGTCCCGTTTACTCATGAATTTAACGCAAAGGGTGAAAAAATGTGAAAAAGATCCTCCAAATGCCTCCAATATACTTTTAGTATAGGCAGGATGGTTCCAAAACGGTTCAGGAATCTAAACCGCTGCACATAAGGAACCGAACCGGTCCGGAATCGGAAAAAATCGAATCGTTTGGAATCGAATCGGATTGAATCGACCAGGATTTTAAGGAACCGGAACACAACAATAATTAAAAATCGAATCAAACATGAATCGGTAGGTTGCTTGAACCGAATCGCCCCGAATCGATTTTCAAGGGGAACCGAATCGACGGGAATCGAGGCCATGCATACCCGGGATCATATATATATATATATATCTTGGATGTTTGTATTGGATTGAGCCACGCAAGTGCTTGAGATAATTATTGCACAAGCCCGCCACCCGCCATTTTCCGTCACGGCCCTTTTCCGTCTCTACATCAGCGGATCCCTCCATAGCCTGGATCTTCGTCCTGGCGCGGCCAAGATAAAGTAACGGTTAAATTACATGATCTGGTATGTGAAGACAATTCGAAAATACGAACGATGAGGAATTTAATCTCAATCTATTGGGACATGAAACCTATTTTGCTACAACAAGAATACTGTAATTAGAACAATAATGTCCACAAGGCGAATTGAACTATTATATGACTATGAAGGTACGGACGATTGGCTATGAACCCTGGAAAATCCAAGGGCCATCATGATTTCCATCTAAATATATCTCTTTCCACCACCAAGTCACGTTTGTAGATTTTAACAGGTTTCAGACTAGTTTCAAAGCAGTTTCAGACCCCTAGAAGGGACAGGTTTGAGGTGTAGGTATGTAGCTAGGTAGCTAGGTAGATATGTAGGTAGGTATCTATGTACCTATGGATGTATATATGTAAATAGATATGTCTGTATGTATGTATATAACCAATCCTACTATAGAATTCTGTCCAAGTAATACAACTGAATCGTATCATGTTGAGCCTATTGTATTCCGGACGATTAGCTACGAACCGATGCCTGCAGATTATGATTTACGTCTTTCAGTCCTAAGCGGGCGATTGCATCACCATTATGGCCAACATTTGTGTTACCTGCCCTCGAACACCAAGGGCCAAAAGCTACCATCGGTAAAATTATGTAAACTTGCAACCCATATGATCTATATATCTGGTAGGCAATGGCACGTACCAACGGACATCCTTGTTATTGTCCGCTTCGGATCTTTGTTATGCCTCCTCTGCGAGCCGCCAACTACGCTAGCGAGCGCACCTGCACTGTGCACCAAGTGTTGGTGGCGAGTCAGAAGGAAGGAGGCGATCCAGGTACCTACCCGGCTGCTTTGCTGGTTGCTGCCTTGACCCCAAAGTGACCATTGGCAGTAAACATATATATACATATATAGTTTGTTGGGAATCAGTTATAAGAATGTACAAGTGGAAGTCCTGAACTCATCGAATTATTAGGAGCGTTACTCTAAAAAGTAGTGTATAAATATGTAGGTGTTAACCATTGAATCACCTTGCCGGTCTGTAGATAAGCTTTAAACTGTGTATCTACCACAATTGGTGTAGAATCATCGGTGAAACTGAAAGCGTGTGGTGCCACAAGAAAATAGTTTGAAACAGGTTTGAAACTAGTTTGAACCCCGGAAATTTTGCTCAATTCCGTCCATCCATCCGACCCACGTCTTCAAAATCCATTCAGGCAAGCCAGCGTGTGAGCCACATTCACTTATACGACATCAGTGGATCAACCAATGATTCTAATCACTTATCATGAACTGCTATCAATCCATCATTCTAAATATGCATCAACCAAATATGCGCTGCTTGCCCTGGAATGCCACGGGCCAAAGGAAGAGAAATAATCATGGTAGATTGGAATTCCATATGTTATTCTGTAGGTTGGAATCCCATATGCTACCCATTTGGGGGGTAATGGCAAATGCAAGAAACGCGAAGCTATGGGATGCAATTACTACCCACTTGGGATCTTTGGTATCCATCCTCACCCAAACACCAGCTAGCGAGCGCACCTGCACTGGCACTATGCACCAAGTGTTGGTGGAGAGTTTGAAGGAATGCAGCGATCCAGGTACCTGCACGGCTCCTGGTTGCTTGCTTGACTCGAAAGCTATCATTGGCGGTATATGTAAAAAATGGTTCTCACGATCCCATTCTTCCCCAAATTTGTGTTGCCTGCCCTAGAATGCCAAGGGCCAAAGGAGACACCATCATGCATCCCCTTTCAAAATGTAGACGGAACAGACAGCATGCGGCATCAAGCAAAAGCGTCTGAAACCTGTCTGAAATCAGTCTGAAACCAATCAATCGATCACGCAGTGCACTTTCTTATGGGGGTTTCCAATTATCCAACTCGGATTCGGAAGCTCCATCTATGTTGTTATTTGGGTCTGAAACAGGTCTGAAACTCATTGGAACCACCAGTCCCGCCAGCGATTCGGACCCGTGCTGCTACGTAAGTGTCATGAGTGTTGATAACTAGCTTAGGTGACATTACTGACTCATTGCTAATCCCACTAATACGGATGAATACTTAGCTAGCCAAAATTCGCGCGTGTCCAAGATGAGCCGTAGATGAGCCGTATACTGGCCGTATACAGCAGAAATGCTGCGTTCTAGTCGGTTCTAAGGCTTCACCAAGATGAGCCGTATACTTGCCGTATAGAGCAGAAAAGGTAGTTGAAATCTACCTGAACTCAGCATGTCTGCTGTATACGGCTAGTATACGGCTCATCTTGGTCAAGCCCTAGAACTGACTTGAACTCAGCATTTCTGCTGTATACGGCCAGTATACGGCTCATCTACAGGGCTTGACCAAAATGAGCCGTATAATAGCCGTATACAGCAGATATGCTGAGTTCAAAAGAGTTCCAGAGCTTGACCAAGATGAGCAGTATACCAAATTCGATTCTACACTCATGATGTAGTTGAAATCTACCTGAAACCAATTACATCCGTACCTGGAGCCGCGTTTGCGGATCCCGGTACGGACGCAATTGATTTCCGATGAATATTCTCTTTGTTCTTTGTCAAAGGGATCTATCTCAAGGGTTGCCAAACGGATGGATGCTCTCCATGCTTTGCTTTCTAAGGTTTCAAGGTGATTTCAAACTGTCATACAATTAAAAACTAATTGAAACCAGCTTGCCCATGTGAAACCAGTTTGAAAGCAGTCTGAAACCTTAGAAAGCAGCACTTGCAGAGCATCCGTTTGGGACCTTCTCTGCTGTATACGGCTAGTATACGGCTAGTATACGGCTCATCTCGGTGCAGCCTTAGAACCGACTACAACTCAGACTTTCTGCTGTATACGACCAGTATACGGCTCATCTTGGACACGCGCGAATTTTGGCTAGCTAAGTATTCATCCGTATTAGTGGGATTAGCAATGAGTCAGTAATGTCACCTAAGCTAGTTATCAACACTCATGACACTTACGTAGCAGCACGGGTCCGAATCGCTGGCGGGACTGGTGGTTCCAATGAGTTTCAGACCTGTTTCAGACCCAAATAACAACATAGATGGAGCTTCCGAATCCGATTTAAAGGAAATCTACCTGAAACCAATTACGTCCGTACCTGGAGCTGCTGTATACGGCCAGTATACGGCTCATCTACAGGGCTTGACCAAAATGAGCCGTATAATAGCCGTATGCAGCAGATATGCTGCGTTCAAACGAGTTCCAGAGCTTGACCAAGATGAGCAGTATACCAAATTCGATTCTACACTCATGATGTAGTTAAAAT